TTTCTGTGGTCTTATTTACTCTTACACTGTGAGATGCTGGGATATATTTTCTATGTCCTTACTTTCCTGGGCTTCATTCCCAACCTATGGAGGCAAGCGATTGGAAGAAATACCTTGCCTTTCTCTACCTCTGTTAGGTAGCCAAATTTAAGATGTCTTTAATCTGAATTGCCTTTTCAAAAGTGCTTAACATTTTTCTTCCTCTTTACTGGTGTGTGGCTGTAGGTGAGACTACAGCCTGCTTGACGGGATCCTGAGAAAACAGGAACTGTGCAACTGTTGGCCACCTTGGGATAGGTGACGTGCCCAATTTGTTTAGTCTGACCCTGCGGTGCTCTAGTAGAGGGTGTAAATACTAAATTAAGGGAATGAATTGTAGTTTTAATAGCCATGAAATCACACCTTCTCTTTCTTCAGTTTCTTACCATTTTAGCCACTGCTGCAAATCTGGGAAGCTAGAGGTGCTTTGAAAAGCAAGACATTTTAAACTTGGAGAAGATGGCATGGTTTTCCCTTTTAGCATCTGCTGTTGGAGCGTTTAGATTGCTGTGGTTGAAATTTGCCTCAAAAATCTGTTTGATGGGGAGAGTCAGCAAGCAAAAATGCAAAATATATATAAAAAAAAAAAAAAGGAAGATTGCCAAAATTTTTTTGAAAGCAACCAAACCCAGAAATGTCTGCCAACAAGATTATTGTTTTAATAAGCCACGCTACTATTTTGCCTGTAAACTTGCTGTGTATTTTGAACTGGGGAGGGGGCCAGGTAGGTTTTGCTGTACAATAAAATTCAAGGTAACTTCCTTGTATGTTAATGAGCTTGCTCGACTGCTTCACAGGAAACATCTGAAAAGTGTCTTTTTTAATAAAGTTCCTTGCAAGCTCATTATATAACATAATCACCTTCAGCCCACTAAGAACTTCAATTTGTATAGTATGTGAATTTGCACAAGCATATAGCTGGAGGTGAAGGGTTGGTGTTCTTCATTTAGTCTTGTATAAAGTGATTTGAGCCTTGATAGTGTCATAGAAAGAATAGTTTTTAGATGTTGTTGCACATCACCTCTTGAGGTGTGCTGTTTTTTGTTAATTGGTTATGTCAAAAGACGTACAGTGTTTAATTTGACAGGATAAAGTTTTAAGTGCTGATACACATGTCAACTATGATAGAACTAAATCTCTCAGGTGCACTAAATATAATATTTCTATTTGGAAAAAAAAACCTAGAAACTTCTAATTGAAGTTAACAAATTTTTTTTTAGAAGCTATAGAAAGTTAACTGTCTTTAGGTAAGACTAAATATTTGTAACTTCTGTTTAATGCTTATAAAACTAACAGTCGTACAACAATCTGTTGTTGAAATTATATTTGGAGATATTCCTGTGTAATCCCACATTTATCTTGCAATTCTTAATTGTCTCAGCATTGGGTCATGCTGCAATTTGGTCAGACCAGAGGCTTGGCTATGTCACAGTACCCTGAAAGAACGCTTTCAGTTCGTGTTGCATGAAAGAAGTCAGTGTAAAATTAGTGAATGTCCAGAACGTGTGGATGAGGGCAAATTTTACTGGTTTCTCCCATATCTGTGTAAAGTTGCCTTAAAATAATGTAGTGGTCCGTGCTTCGGACTTCTGTAGCTGTTGAAATTTAAGAGTATGTGAACTCAAAGCAATGCATTTTAAAAATCTTCTGCAGCAAGTGTGACTTCAAAGTCTGAGCTTTCTTCAACATCCCTTTCAGTTTGACTTCTGAGATATCTCCAGAGTATCGTCCAGAGTGCCTTCTCAGAGAGAAGAAAGCTTCATCCCTCTCCTTCCGCCTTTCTTTTCTACTCAAAACTAAATTTGAACTTAAACTTCATTTTAACACCTTTAGGAAAAAAAACCCCAACAGAAGATCATGCTGTTTCTTAGTTTCAACCAAGATGTGTAAGTAGTAGGCTTTTATGTAGACATACTGGTTTAAATAGGTTCTGTAACCTCACAATTTTCCATTAGTGCACACTAATTGTTTAATAGATGTTCAAATAAAGCCACTGCAAATGGGCCTTTTATTTGACTTTTACCTCATGGAGCTTTCTCTGCAGGTAAGAGAAAGCTTTGCAGCAGGAGCAGGTTAGAGATTGAAGATAATCTAGGAGTGATTCAGAAATTAAGGCATTATTTCAGTGGTTTGACAGCCTACATTGTCAGGGTAGAAGATGGAAATGACTACAGGACTGGTAGTGAAAAAAAAAATATGAATATATGTGAAAACTAATATATGTGGGGTGGGAAAAAAAAAAAAGAATATATGTGAAAACTAATATAGGTGGGGTGGAAATAAAGTTTTGAGTTCATTCCAGTCCTTCCAGCTCACGTGTTTGTCGCCCTCTTAGAACAGGGGGAAGGTCTGACATCTGAAATGACGAGTCTGGATGGCATTAGAAAAAATTGCAGCCTTGAAACTCAGTGGAAGGCCACTGGGTGTTTTGCTTGCTGGCTACTTAGGTTGATGCAGAAGGCTTACAGAGCACATACTTTCTCCAGGATTTTGACTTCATATGAACTTGTTGAAACTCTGAAATGAAGAACAAGTAAGGATAGGGGCTTTTGTGGAAAATGGAATCAAATGAAATGTAGTTTCATAGTAGAATTCACTAGATTTTAGAGTTTGTAACAAAATAATGTTCTGAAGTAGGCAGAAGGAATGCTACTCAATCTGTTGGGATTCAGTGGACTGCACTTTCAGTTATGCGTCATTAGATTTCATTGAAGCTGGAGAAAGAAGAATACTATGGGTTTTGGGGTGAAGAGGAGACAGTAGTAGGTAATGATAAAACAAAGGCTTCTTGGTTGTCATCAGCTACTAACGGAGTTGCATGGATGATGTTCTTGGAACCAATCTGTTATTAATATCTTGTTAACTTGATTGCACAAGTGATGTGTGCTATGGACGCACCCATCAGCAAGTTTCGTACCTAGGACATTATCAGAACAAGTGAGAATCAGAAAACAATCAGGAGAAATTGAATGATTTTGAAGACAAGGGGATGATTTAGGATGAAAATAATAACAATGAATAGAAGGCTACCTACTTACGGACTAAGAAAGAGAATTTCCGCTTTTTGCCAGAGAGGGCAGATGGTTGGTTCACCACTTGGAAGGAAAAGATGCATTGACGATAACATGAATGTAGTGGGATGCGAAGGAGTGACATCTGCGGAGACAGGGAGGTACTGTGGCTACGGAGTGCTGGCTGAAGCCAGCAACATCTGGAAAAGGAGTAGGTCGGTGAGAATGAATGGTAGAATAAAGGAAATGTAAAAAAAAAGTCCAGAATAAGTAGTTCAGTGAAGTGGCAACCAAAGCTAAGGCAGACAGATTCCTCTCTGCCTGCCTTTTTTGTCATGTCAGGTCAAGGACAGATAGAGAAAGTCTCATCCTTCACACTGGTGTGGGAAAACATTGAAGCAAAAGCTGTGGGACAGAATGTCAAACACTTTTTTAGTTAAAAAATAAAAAGCCTATTTTCAGTTACTTCTTTTTTGTCTTGAGTTATTTTTTAATTTGTATATTTTTTTATTTGTATTTTTTAATCTCGACCCAAAAATGCAGTTCTTGTTAACACCGAAATCAAGTTGAAACCAGATATTTGGCTACTGGATTGCAGTCTGTCCCTGCTAAGAGTTTCACCATTAATTTAAATGGTAGATTTTTGTGCTGTGGATTTTGTGCCTTTGATATCTGCCATGCTGATGATCCATACGGATGCTAGTATGGAATATTGGATCATATGCTTTCATTTGGTTTTGGATTACTGAACAAAACAAACAAATAAGACCCCCCGGATGTTAGATGTTTAAGCAACAGAATTTAAGAATGTTGGATGCATTTATAAAGTTTGCTTTTACTTGTGAAATCTGTTCTCAGAGTTCTACAGGAAGAATTTTTAGTGAGGCTAGGCTGATAACTGCTCACTGCTGAAATTTTGGATTCCTTCAAGGTGTATGTGAAACATTTCTCTCCAAGGAGCTTCCAGAGGAAAGGTAGTAAAAAGAGTGCTCTCCTGATAGCACAGTCTGTTAACTTCTTACAGAACAGTAGGAGGTGGTGATATGGGAAAAATGAAAGATAGCATGTTTACTCTTTAATGCCAACATTTGGATATAATAGAAGAAGATGTAGGATGTCAAATTTCTATATACTTTTAGTAGTTACTTAGCTATGGGCTAAAATGACTGAGTGTATACAGGTTTTAATTTAAAAAAAAGAGTGTCTGGAACAGAGAATATTAACACCAACTTCAGGATTTGCTTATAGTCATTGTCGTCTTCTTTTCATTCAGTGTTCTATGTTCGTTAGGAAAGCTGGGACGGTAATTCCGAACAGGAGGCTTTATTCAGTAAATTCAGCCCTTCCACTCTGTTAGGAAACAGGGACAGGCAGCCAGCAATTCTTGACAAGGTTTTATCCTCAACTTTTCTTATAGGTGCCTGAATAGGAATGAAAGACAATGGGTCGGATTATTTTATTAGCAAACCTGCTTACCCCACAAAAGACTTGCTCTGTCTCTGACCTTCAGTGCAAAATTTTTCATACTGTTAACAAACCAGGATGTTAATCTCAACTATCTAAAATAAAACTGGTGTTGTGTTTAGTTTGGCATATAGCATAGCTTCAATTCTTGGTTTACGAGAAGTAGAAGAGTTTTGTGGTGGGATGTGTGTGTGTACGTATGTGTGGTGGGGTGGTTTTTTTCCCTCCCACACCCATCCTCGAGGAGGTTAGCTTCAGATTGTGATCTGTTTTAAGTCTTTTTCTCCCACCCTTCACCTCTTGTTAATTATGTCTTTCCATATTTCTGGAGTCATTTAAATGACTTTGAAAACGTTTGGCTTAATTAGCTGTTTTTCCCAGAATTCAATACATATTCTTCTGTGGGGAAGTTCTTGCCTCAAGGTGTTTTTAAGTTTTAAAAGGACCCAATCAAACACTTTGGAAAAGTGAAGAAAACAAAAATCTTCAGTAGTTTTCTGCAGAAAGGAAGTGGCGTGAAAATGTCTCTGAGCTCAGTGAACCTTTTGGGTTTCAGTAGTCGGGAGGATTTTGACTCTTGGCTTGTTTCATTGCGTAGAAATTTGCATTAGACCGAGGGACTGTTGGCTTCACATGACGCATATTTAGTCATTTTCATGGCCATCTATACTGAGAGGCTATCGCAAACTGGCATTGCAGTCTGAGTTTCACATAGCAGTTCTTGATAGTTGATTTTCTGCCAAGCTTTTGAGTCTGGGGGCAGGACCATTGTCCCTTACACTGAAACAAATTGTATGGCTTCTTGTCAGTACGGTGCTTATTAGCAATGACTTGCACACAGAGCCTGCGGATGGGTTAGTAAGTGAGGTCAGTGAAAATATGTATGGATTAAATGTGGGTTTAGTGCAGTGTGCACAGTGTGTGTGACTGTGTTTGAGATAATTGAGAACGAAGTAGAGATGAGGGGATAGAAAGTTCTGTGATGTAAAGACTGGTAGAAATACCCCTTCCTTAGGATAACTGGAAAATGGATATTGGCTGATGTTACTCAAAAACATCAGCTGGGAACTTGGGCTAATAATAATTCCATAATTCCAAATGAAGATGACTTAAATATTTTCCCTACGACTGATTTGATTTATTGTGGTGGGATCTATATACACAATTGCAGCTTTGGACCTGTTTCATATTCTGCATCATCTTGCTTGCTGCTTGCTTGCTTGAGGCTTCAGTTACTTACCCGGCTTTGCTCACCCGTCTTAGTGACTGAAGAGCTAAGAGATGTCACATCACCTCAAATCCTAGTTCTGTGCATCTGTTTAATGCCTCGCTGTTTGATAGCTGAGATGGGTTGCTGTTGAGTCCAGGGTGGCCATAGCTAGCGGGCGGTTTAAACCTTGCATACGGTCTTTACCTTTGCGCAGAGAGGGTCCCGCGCTTGGCCACAGCCTGATGTTTAGACTTGTTATGCTGGAGTTTGGTTTAGCTGTACCGCTACCCAGCTTCCCAAGGTGTAGCGTGTCCTAGCATCCAACAGCGGACGTATAAATGAAATCCCGTGCAAAGGACGGGAGCGGATATGCGGAAGTTGGGCAGGTATACCATCCCCGATCAACACATCAATGAACATGCCACGTGGAATAAAGATAATGGAAACTTTTTAGCTATTTAACAAGGTATAAAACCTGTTATAAGAAGTCAAGGTTGTATCCTCTTGTACAACAAAACATACTAAAGTGTTTTCTTCTTTTTAGTCCAAGTGGTAAGAAGTTCAGAAGCAAGCCTCAGTTGGCAAGATACCTGGGAAACACTGTTGATCTCAGCAGTTTTGACTTCAGAACGGGAAAGATGATGCCCAGTAAATTGCAGAAGAACAAACAGAGACTAAGGAATGATTCTCTCAATCAAAATAAGGTTTGTTAGTAAATACTGTGTTTAAGGATATCCTAAGAATTTCCTTTCCTGTAGTTCATTTAGCAATTTCTTTTCTGCTTAAAGCAGTCAGCTTCTAAGATGTACGTGTATGTTTAATTTTTAGTAGTGGTAGAGGCATAAAGTTATAAATAGAAGGAATACTCTGCTACTACAAAGAAAAAATCAAGGTGAGGTTAAGTATGAATCAAAAGGTTGAGTAATTCAGGAGTCGGCTTGGGACTAAGAACCTCAATGCTAGTCATCTACCTGAGCGATATTCTTCTAAATGGGAGAAGTTAGGACTGTTGACACCGAGAGATTCTCCTGTTCAGGGCTTTAACTTGCTATGTTCATCTTCCTGTTCTGAGATGAAATAGTTCACATTTTTAATGCGTGCGATATGTGCCAGGAAGCTTGTTTTCTGAGGCGAATGCACTGATCTGTACAAATCTGGCTGTCTGTGTACAGCTCTGTAGCTTAACAAGGCCAGGCGTTTTTCTGTTTAAGATTGGGCCTTTCTCGATTGATCTGATTGTTCTCTTATTGTCTATTTCTTTTTGAACAACAGTGTATCCTTTTGAATACTGAAGAAAATGTGTATAGTAGATTAAAAAATAAAAGGCTGAAGGATACAGAAGTGAAGTAACTGATGTAGCATATAGGGATGCGACAAGTAAATTTAGCTGACTCTCAGATAATACGTTCCTGGACAAACTTTCAAAACCTCATACCACAGTTTGCAGGTTGTTACAGAAATCCTTTCAATGTTTTCTTTCTAAAGAGGTTTATTCTTCAGGATTTCATAAATTACTTTGAAAGGATTTCTGTAACAACCTGCAATGTTTTCTTCCTAAAGGGGTTTATTCTTCAGGATTTCCATAAATTACCGTAGCGTATGAAAGTACTTCACAAGTTATAGCTACGTCTTGCACACTGATGTTTTTTGTCATCTGCCGTTTGTAATGCGTGAACCACACATTTCATGCTGATTTCGTTTTATTTAAAGCATGTGTTCAAATTATTTAATATTTTCTTCCCGCAGACATGAGGCTTTCAGATAATATAACGTTTGGGGGTAGTCCAAGGAAAGGTTTTGCTTAGGCTTTTTGCATAAGTAGAAATTACAAAGTTTGATATATAAAATCTAGATGAGTGTGTGCTCGCTTTGTATTCCTGTGATCTTAGATTACCTGAATGATGCTTGCAGTAGCTCTGTTAAATACAAGATTAGGAAAAAAATTCCTTTTTTTAGGTAAATAACATTTATCATTTCTAAGTGACCAAATCTGTAACTTACAAGCTTTCAAGAATTTCCGCAGTATTCCTGTGATACTTAAAAATGAGATTTCAACTCATTCCTGAAGTTTGTGTTTTCTTCCACAGACACTAAAAGAGACTGGTTGTGGCCGTCTTCTCGTCCGCCCTGCAGCTGTGCTGCTGGGGTCCATAAAAGACAGACTTGCATAGGCAAGTTTGTGTATAAACTTGCTCATATTTTATGGGTTGTTTGGTTTTGTACAAACAATTTACCGCAAATGTTTCTAAGTTCTTTGGCTCCCCTTATGTTTCAAGAAGGAATATCAAAATATACTTCAGTCTTCTTTCTTGGACGTGTCTAGGCAGTGAGATTTATGCAGCTGGCGGATGGAGATGCCGTCTGGCCATACTTGTAACTTTCGAGATTCTCATCAGCAGCAGATCAGAACTCAATGTCAAGACTGATATGCTAATGCCACCTGGCTTAAAATGGAACTGAGGATAATTTATGCTAATGAATGCCCTCCATTTTGTGATGTTAATGTACAACAGTGTAAACAACACAGAAATATTCTTCTAGCAAAATCCTTATCTCCAGTCTCAGCCTTGTGCATTCTTACTGACCTTTCAGTATTGGCAAGAAAGGCATGTATTTGATAGGTTTATTTACAGTGGAGCCGTAGGAGGAGTTTTGCTTCAACCTATTCTAATCTTGGCATTGTTTTCTGTGTAACCATTTTAAACTTGCACATGAAGTTATTTTATTTATTTGAAGTGCTTTTGAAGAGATAATCAAATAAGGAATACAATTGAAGGTGGATCCAGTAGATATAGCGTACTGCTGTGCTTATAAAAATATGCTTATCAATTCTTTCTATTGAAAAGAAAACGTAATAGAGAGTACTGGTTAAACATGCTGTCTGGTTATAAGTGACTTCTTAGGTTAAAGGATTTGAAAGGCCTGGAAATACATTGCTGAGTTTTTAAAACATTTTTATGTCCGGGGCACATTGATGCTTCTGGGAATATGTCTCTTTGGAAAGATACTGAAATTCTTTTGGAAACCATTGTTGCCGGGGCACATTGATGCTTCTGGGAATACGTCTCTTTGGAAAGATAGTGGACTGAAATTCTTTTGGAAACCATTGTTTGAGCATAAAATACTCCTCAGGAGTAAAAATGAGCAGGGAACATTGCTATTTCTGCTGGCTGATACATTGCTATAGTTCCCAGAGTAGGAAGAGATTCCGTTTTGCGATAGTAGTCAAGCAATGTAAAAGCCCACAGTGTGACTGTCTTTCTGAAGTCTGAAGTTTTGTAGGTGTGCCTCAAACTGACTATTGTGAGCTTAATCGCCATCTGAAATGAGGTAATCTGTGTCTGACCCTTTGAAATACGTAGATAGTGTCTTTTATCCAGAAAGCTTCAGGAGAGGTGTTGGTTGTGAGGATCTTTGTTACTTATTTCTATTAGGATGTCCTTGAAGCTTTTCCTTTGTCATGAATAAATCCTATGTCTGGCTGGCTTATGATTTGTTGTGAAAAAGAGTTTCTCTGAATATCAGTTGCCTCCTGTGATATGTGATCTTTTTTTTTTTTTCCCTGTACATCTGAAGATCTGCAGGTGCTGGAGGTGGGTGAGCTTTGCAAGTTTCTGTACTAAAGAGTTTATTTCTGTTGTTCAAAACTCAGTGCCACAAATGAGAGACTGTTTATTTAGGATGAGATCAGAAAGCCCAGATGTGACTGTGATTAGAAAGGAAATAAAGTAGGGAAGTAGTAAGTTATAATTACATTATTTAGGAATTGATCTGTTCTTAGTTTAAACAGTTTATCCTAATGACAATTTTCTACTATGTAGCCTTGATAAAAAGTATATGGGATATCTAGTGCTTGAACCTGTATTTCCTGCATAGTTTATAACTCATCAGGGTTTCGCTTTAATTCTGGGGGCCATATCATTAACGTAGCTGAATTTTCTTAAGTTCTCACACTGCCTGAAGGAATCTCCCTTTTTATTTTTCGAAGTTTAATGGATTTATTTTTTATCTTCTCTTTAAGTCACATTACAGGCCAAAAGGAACCTGTAAATATTTTTCATGAACTTGAAGCAAAGACCTTTGTTCTAGAAATGTTTGCTAAACCACATTTATCCCCCATATGGCAGATGGCTCTGTAATATTATTGGGTTTGTCAGTTTTAATAGCTATTTTACCACTAATAGTGATGCTGCTGCACAGAATGCCCTGTGGGCATGGACTTCAAAGCATCAAATAGGACTTTGAACTTGGTGTCACAAGATGAGGGAATGCGAAGCTTGTAGGATAGGCAAGGTCTGTCAAGGTTCTGGTGTGAATTGAGTTATGCAGTGTGAGGAAAGTTCATTGTCAGAATACTTTGTGCAAATGTAAGTACATGTGATTACTGTCTAGCTCTGCTTGGTGATTCTGTGCTCATCAGAGATGCTTTAATTAGACAGGAAAATATATACTATATATGAAAAAGTGTAACATTAGACTTACTATTTTCATCATCAGTGGAGAAAAAAATTGAGCCCATAACTAGTATGACTCATGCAAAGCACGCGTTAAAAGCAATGACCAAAGTATCTGAAAGTATTTTTCTAGTTGACTGGGACTACCTGGGTGAAACATTAAGAGAAGAATGCCATCTAGATTTATTTAGCTTAGATTCTCTCTTCTGCTTTGTATAAAAAGGTCTTATGACTTCTCTGCTAATTGAATGGTAATTTCTCTGGTCGGTTAAAACTATTAAGTGTAATCAGGCAGAAGTACTCGTGCTGTGTTGTCGTTTGCTCTGGCCATGGAAACCCTGGTCCCAGTTAGACGAGCATCAGCAGCGAGTTAGGGATGGAGCTGTAGGTGGAGATCTCTGAAGATACGCTGCTTTGCCTGTTGGAAAGCAGTAATATTGCAAGACAGGAGATGAGTTAGTTTCTGGCTGTGAGTTTATAAACCAGAAATGATAAATGCCTGAATTTCTGAGGAAAACTTCTATTAGGATTTGTGGTTTTAGCCTTATTGTATTTTAATGAATTAACTGCTACCTGGAAATGATGAAGAAAGGGGACACATAAAATAATAAGGTATACGTAAAGGAGTGGTAAAAATAGAGACCTGTGATCAGAATTGCTTCCATTTAAAAAAATAGCTTTCTAAAACTCTTTCAGAATTCACTGGTATGTTCTAGCATATTTCTTCTTTTGGTTTGGAAAACTGGTTTTGGCTTTTATGAGAGGATGCGCAAATCAGTCTTAAGCAAGGATTCCCAAAATGCTGCAACACTGACTTATGAATGAGTGTATGAATTGAGTCATGCTGTTGAACAGCTGAGGATATGCATAGTGCTCTTGATAAATCACCTTCTTGGCCGTCTGCATGAAAAATTGAGGCCTGAAATTTCAAAACTTGAGATGCCTGGATAAATACGAAGCGTTAAATCTGTTGCTCCTTCTTATCAATTACATTCCTTAGAATTAGGTGGAGGAATTCCTTATTTTTTTCTGCCAGGAAAGATCTGATAGCTCTGTGTCATCCTGGAGAGGCTATAGAAGGAGACTGACTCTTCCCTTGCCTCTCCCCCCACCCAGCAGCCGAATCAAACAGTTGGATAGGAGCAGCCAATATAATAACCATTGCAGCGTGTAAGGATGTATTTTGGGCTTAAGTGGCTTGTCTGTAGAATGGTCTACATGATGAAAATTACTTTCTGTGGAGTGCAGAGATGATACTCTCTTTATTGCTAGATTATGGACTGTACACATAGAGGAAGAATGACTTCACCGGCAGTTTCTCATCAGCCATCCGCCTTGCAATAACAGAGGTATGCTAAAATACAGGATGTTCTGGTGGTGGAGGAACTACCCTCTCAGATTGCTCTAGTGAAGCTCTAAAAGACGGCTGCATACTTTTAAAATAACAATTTAATCTGAGACAGATGCAGTGAAGAGAAGGCTTATTGCTTAATAAGCCTAAGCGTCTTGCCATATTTATAATGTCATTTTTATATAGATCATTGCAGAATATCTATAATCAGTATTCTAGCTTTCATCTGGAATTCCAGAGTGTTCAGTTTAGGAACAAATGATTTTTAATAAGCATGTGCTGTCTGGTTCTTAACACAGTCTCTTTTATGAAGTCATGTAGTCCAAATTGTATAATCTAAATATGGAGGATTTGAAGACTGAGATTTAATTCCCATTTCTAAGCCCAAGAGATTGCTTTTTCTCACAAAATTAGGAGTCTAAGTAATCCTAATGAACAACTCTTAACATGATCCTTGGATGGAGTCTAATATCAGTGTTCATTGTGTGACTTTTGAGCTATGATCTCACAGCCAATTATAAAACTTCTGAGACCTGAAATAGTATGTAATAATCTATTTCTCTTCCTTTTGAAGAAAGTAGAAGTAAACATTTGAAAAGCAAAAGCTTTACCATTTTTCTTTGTGAGAAACTAGATACAGCTCTTAATGTGTTGAAGTGCTTAGCACTGTCCTGCAAAATAGAGAACATGCTTTTTGATACAACATTCATTGGGAAAATGTGTATCGTGGGATATTTATTTTCAGTGTCTGTCTTGTGTGGATATCATCACGTCTTCTCAGTCACACTTTTGTATCCTTGGGGGGAAAAAAAAAGGAATTATTTCAGTTATTAAGAAAAATACCAATTTTCAGTGTCTGTCTTGTGTGGATATAATCACGTCTTCTCAGTCACACATTTGTATCCTTGGGGGGGGGGAAAAAAGGAATTATTTCAGTTTTTAAGAAAAATACCGGGCAAAATGCGTGAGCAGAAAAGACTGAAAGTATGTGTTCAGGACTTGGAGGAAATGGGATTACAAACAAAAAGCTGTAAGGTTCTGTTCTGTTGGCACAGCACTTCAAACTGGCAGTCTGCTTTTGGATAGAGCGACAGATTTAGAAAAGCTGGAGCGGTGTGCAGGTGGTGATCTATCTTTTTCTTTCTTCATCAGTCTTGGCAGTTATGGGAGAATTCTGTTCCCCCACCCCAAATGCTTCTGGGGTTGTTGCTGCGGAGAGAGCACTAGTATCTCCGAGGGCATAAGGGTCTGATGTGTTACAAGGTATTATTGGTAAAGTTATATGTGATGCCTGAAAATCAGTTCACAAACCTGATAAAAACTAGCTTTGTCAAAAGACTTGTTGAAGTTGATACAGTTTTAGTTTCTTTCCAAAATAAATTGCTGCATTTAAAAATTGTTTGACAAAGGAATCGCTTAGGAAATTTGTGATCAAAGTTATGTAGGCAGTTGCTGTCCTTTAAGACTTGAAACTCTATAAACTCTTTGCTACAAACATATTTTCATGGAGCTTTGGAGATTTCATTTTGACATCTGATCGTGAAGCTGTCTCTTTTCAGAATGAACAATTTACTTATATATTTTAACAAAAGAAAAGATGGACTTTCAAGCAGTTTGAGTTCTTCCCAAGAAGGTGAAAATTTGTGGAAACAGTTAAGTGTTGTGTTTTTTTTTTTTTTTCTTTAAATGGAAGACTGCAAAGGTTAGTTGAGTACAGCATTTAAGGAAAATCTTTACTCCAAAAAAAGCCTCCTTCTTTTGCACATCAGTAGAAGAGGGTGAATCCAACATTAATTTGTGTACTTTTTGTGCATAATTGTTGTTAATTCACTTTTTTTTTTCTTTTCTTTTTTTTTAACAGGGAAAACCAGACTTGAATACAACTTTACCAATCAGGCAAACTGCATCAATTTTCAAACAACCAGTCACCAAAGTTACCAATCATCCTAGTAACAAAGTAAGATCTGATCCCCAGCGAGTGACGGAGCAGCCGCGACAGGTAAGAATGAATCTGTTCCATTGCCATTACTCAGAGAGTTGAAACAAGCTGAAAATGTGCTTGTTTTCAGCTGTGCTTCCATTACAGATGAGAATTCCTATGTTGGAGGTTACTTGTAGAAAATTGTGTAGTACATACAATTTTTAAAAAAGTACAGGAATAACAGTTCATCTGGAGATTAATATTTCTCAATCCAAAATTTCATTCATAATTGATTACCATATTCCTCTTGAAATTCAGATATGTACTGCTCTGTTGCAACTGGACATGAAATATAAATTTTCATGTTCAGCTTCTTAATAGAAGTTCCTATAAAATACACAGTTCTTACCAAGAAGTAATACCTCACTTTTATATAGAACAACTTTGTGCAAAATCAATAAAAATTTGGTTTTTTAATCCCTCTTTTTCACTCTACTACTACTGTAAACACAAACCACAGTAACACAAACTCATCTTACACAAGTTTTCCTTTACCTGCTTTTCTTTATATCAATGACAGATCGCCTGTTCACACAGTGCTTTTTTTGGTTTTGTTTTTTATGGGGAGGAGGGAGCTGAGAAGAAATGGAAATCTGGTTTATGAACGAATGATCGGCTAGATAATGTAGTGTATATTGCATTGAGGTATTGTTTGTAAGTCTGCCTTGTATTTTTTGAGTCATAGCATGACTGCCATCAAATTGAAAGACCTTATTCTATCTTAGGAGTGCAGAGGTGGGGAGAAAATGCAGAGACATGTTCAAATTTTTGTACGCTCATATGTCACTAACTTTTAACAACATTTCCTTTGAAACTCAAGCTGTCTCTAATATTGCACTTGCAAACATCTTGAATGCTGTTCTTGTAAGAAATAACATGAGGAATTTAGACTCTGCATCCTCTAAATTCAGGTGAGAAAGAAAAAGAAGAAATATCGAGCCGTATTGGATCATCTTGTTGAGATGTCTTTTAGCAAGATTTGAAGGCCTCAGCTAACCTCACTGTTGGTCCCATGAAGTTCAACAGGGGCCATGTAAGTGTATCACATTCAGATCTAAAAGATGCATAATTGCATGTGTCTATTGATTCTCTTCGCATTCTTTAGGTTTTCCTTTTGAACTACTACACTTTGTGTCAGGAATTTCCTTTTGGTCATGTCTGCTGAACCAGTAATAATCACCAAAGCGTGTGAAATTTATGGCACCTTTGTGGCAAGGGAAATGGATGTCTGGCAATTCATATCTTGATGGATTCCAATCCCTTTCATGCGTGCCTATTTCTTCCCTGTTTTCTTTCTTCCAGACCCTTTTCTTCAAATACATAGCAACTGAAATCTTTGAGAATGCATCCCTTTTCTTTTGAGAATGACTATCCAGTAAAGATTTGCAGAATAGGCTATTTTCAAACATACCCAGGTTAAATCTTTGTCTCCTTAAGATAGGTTCTAATGGATTAAGCTATAGCAAGATCTTTGAGAAGTCATCATCTGCTGATCACTGTGTCAGCGTTCTTTTTCAGCCAAATTCCTTTCTCCTTGCTTGCAACGGTGCATCTTTGGAAGAGGACACTTATTCTGTATTGCCATCCTTCATTTGGAAGAAATGCTGGCTCTGTTTGCATTGAATGTGGGATAGTTAATCTTACGTATCTAATAGCAAAGCAAGTCTTGGTGTGTCTTTCTCTTGCTTTTCTCTGAGCTAGAATGCTGTCTTGAGCTGTTTTCTGGTTCTGAGTAGTGATGACTGACATAAGTGGGAGACTTGGGAAAAGGAGAGAATCGATTGTTACAGTTGTTTTTACATTTGAGTGAGCTTTCAGTAAAATTTTCATTAAAAAATCTGGAACAAAGCAATTTAATGTAGGTAGTATACTGTCAGTTACTGGAGAATCTTAAGCAAATTGACAGCTTTCATAAACAACTTCCAGTGATCTGGTTTCTTTATGCACAGATTTCCATCACACAATTATCAATATTTCTTTGGTATTAGTAACCAAAAGTATTGAGGAACTCCAGTCGTTGATCGTGTGTGCACCCTTTATACATGCATACACAGATGCACACACGCACATCTTGTTTGAACATGGCATGCAGTTCATTCCGATGTTTTACTCGCTAGAGGGAGCATAAATATTAATAGATACAATCTTGACTTAGTTTTCAAAAAGCAACAATTCTTTTCTTGATTAAGTAGAGAAGCCAGGGTGAGGACTGAAGTTGCTGGAAAATTTTATTCTTAATAAAGGCTGCACCATGTGGAGCACCTGTCAGTTGAGATACATTTGTTGGACAAACGCAGCCTTGTAAATGTATTTGAGTTCTCTTCCCCTCCAGATAAAGCCTATATTTTCCTTACATAAATAATCCCTACGTGTGTCACTGTCTTCTCCTTCTCTCATACTCAGGTGTGCAAACTTTCCTGTACATAGACTGTAAATACATCAGTGTTGGATATTCAAGTGAACGCTGAAACACTGACTATATCGCCTATTCGTATATAAACCTTATTCAGTTACCACTTCACATGTCATTCCTCCCTATTTCTTCAGTTCTTGGCCCAAATCCCTTACAGGATTTTTGCTTCTGTAGTTCTAAATATCCACCTCTCAAAGCTTTATCCGCTTACATCTATTGCATCTCCCTTTTCAAAAGATGGTCTAACCAGAATTCCCTGAAAATTCTCTTTGGCCTGCCTCCTTACGTGGAGATCAAAATAAATGAGTACTGCAATAACTTTGGCAGTCAGTAGTTTTTTTCATGACCTGAGAGTGAGAAGACGTGCTTATTGGTGTTGGCAGGGAAGGTATTTGGCAGCAGCTCTTCTTTAAGCAGTAAACCCTGTGGTAGTTCTTGGAAAGATAAACTAATAACAGCTTGCCTACAATCTTTGTATAGGTAAATCTGTCAATGAGAGCAACAGATCTTTGTGGCAACTGCTGGTTCCATACGTTCAGCACGCTAGTTCGTTGCACGCAAGAAGCGATGTGAGGTTGTCTAAGCCTTTTTCAAGCAACAGCTCTGCAAGACGGCATCTTAAAGCCACTCTTAAAGGTTTTATAGATTACTGATTATCAGAGTGGAGAACTTGACCCGAGACAAAATGGAAATGTTCTGGACAATCCTGGAAAGTAGGGAGTGTCAGAACTTGAGCTGCTGAAGCTTCTTCTGGTACTCACTAGACTGCTCTCCTCTAAACTATCAGTCGTCTTCCTTTATGTGGCTTTTGTTCAAATACCAGTACCAGTCAATCCATGAAGATTTCTGGAATTCTCCATATCTAATCAAATGATAGGAGTATCTTTAAGTTCCTAAACAGCTAATCTAATAGCCTCAAAGTGCTTTAATGCCTCTTTTTGAGATATCAACCTGCTCAAAATATTTTGACTCTCTATAATCTTACTTGAGATAGGTTTTCTTACTGTTTCTGTGGCTTTTTTTCATCTCGCAGAGTCCACTGATAAACCAGTGTAAGAAAAGGAATCCTGAAAGATTGTTAGTGGGCCCTGCAAGGAAAGAAAAAAAAACCCACACCACCCCACAACAAACCCCCTTGTTTTAGCCTCCTCTCCACAGTTAAGACTTAGTAAGTTTCGACAAGCTATGATGCATTCTTGATGAATTTTAGAGTAACAGTTTGGATTTTAAAAAGTCAGGTTAACATTGCTGAAATTGAAACTGGAATTAATGATGAATCAAAAAATCATGCAACTATACTGGTCGTCTTCCTCTTAGGTGGTGTTGAGTACTGTCTTAGAATCTTTAATCTTTTTTCTCCCTCCTTCCTATTTAGCAAAAAGGCCACTAGATGTAGAAGTACTTCGGGGCACGTTCATGCTTGACTTGTGCATCTGGATTTAAGTATTCCTCAATGAGAAGATTGAATGTGAAGCAGAGGAAGTCCTGTAACTATCTGAAACTATTATAGGCAGTAAATAATCACTTAAACTTGAGTTACTTGCCTGCCAAGTGTTCTGCACCGAACTGTATCAAATGGAATGGTGCTGCAAATCAAACTTCTTTCTTATGGATCACTGCCCTTTGTACCTATGCTCCCTTGGTGCCTCCAAAAGGTGCAGGTCTGTGGCCTACGTAGAGCACTTATCCACTTCTTTGTGTGTTAGAGCGTCTTGGTTCGCACTGTTCCATGCTTACCTTTTTCAGGGTAAATACAAAACACACTCATTTACCTCTCTGCACCAATTGTACCTGAGATATTGCTTTAAAAAAGCTTTGACTCTTGAGGACTCGCTGATCACTAGTAAATTCTGTTGTATACTGTTGATTGTAGTGGTAGGGATATTCGAAACCATACTGGTAAAACTGATGTTTATGTAAGTGGTAATCATAACGCAGAATTTGCAAAGCATTGACCTCGGTATCCTCCTAATACATTTGGCTAATAACATTCCCCGAGCGTACCTCAAGTGTTTAGAAGAAGGCCATCCTTCTCTTCAAAGCTTATTTTGAGAAAAGCAGGTAGTCGGTTAGTATTACATGATCTGATTCCTCTAGTTCTAGACAACCACCTTTAAAAAGCACCTTAGGATAAATCTGAGGGTATTTACTTTTTAGAAACACCTTAGGATAAACCTGATACATTTACATATGACATCATCTATCTGTAGGCCAGAAGTACTCTTTAAAATTGATTTGAAAGTCTCTTTTATACTTACTATCATATATATTTGCGGTGGATTGTATTGCATTGCATTGTTGAACACGATTATATATGACAAATTAAATCTGACCACAGTCATTCTTTGGCATAAGATATATGGAGTCTAAAAAGCCTAATTTACGAGAAAAATTGCAGGATGTCATTTTATGTATGTCTTCTTGTGAGCAGCTCTTAACAAGAAAGATGCATTTAGCTCTTAGTACTTATATTTTGTCAAATAGATGTGATTTTCTTTCCTGTGGATCGGCTTAAAGGATTGGAATCTAACATTAGATAGGGCTGGAAAACTTCAGCTTCTTGGTGAGTATATGTTAGAATTATCAAAAAGAGGGGTGGAAGGAA